TGTGGTATGGCGTGTGTTCTAAAAATAAAGTTTGTTTCTGCTTGATAAGTGGCTGGTGAATTGTGCCTAGCCAGACTGTGGCAAAAGAGGACATGGTGGCCTAGAGTTGTGCTCCTCAAAGGAGGGCTTCATCTGCCAATTGACCAGTAAAACTAATGGAAAATGATCAGACCTGCAAGAAATGAGCCATGTCTGTGAGGACTTTGGAAACTCACGTATTATCCTGCCACCAGCAAGGAACCTTGCCCTGAGGTTTGCAGAAAGCCCTTTGGCTTAGAGGTTTTCATTTGTAACAAATACTGAGCAGTCTCTTTTGTGTGTGTGTGTGTGACCAGCTTGTGGTCTTGCTCCACCTTGGGGACATAGTCTGGCTTCGTTGAGACTTTTTGCAATTTTGATGCTCTCTCTAGATACTTGAACTTGTCCCCTTTCACCAAGCGCTCCATCTCTGCCTTCAGAGTCTGGATCTCTCTTTTATTCTTGAGGAGAATCTGGTAAATGGAGTTAAACTTGTTGATGATCCTCTTCTCGTCTTCCTTTATCTTGCATATAGAGTTCGCCTCATAGGCATCAATGAGAACGTTCATTTACATGTATTCCTGTCTCAACTGTTCCATCTTCCTGTCTGCAGCCTTCCACAAGCTCTGCTACCTGGTTCTTATGTCCTCCAGTGCTCTTTATGCCCATTGATACAACTGTACGTGATGGTTAGTTTATGTTTCAGTTTATTTTCCAGATCGGGGCAGGTCAGTTTCAGGGACACCAGAGAGGAGGCCTTGTGCTCCACCAGGAAAATGTGGCAGATACACTGGGCATATCTGGGGCAAAATAAGTCCTGCAGGCAGTTGTGCTGAGAGCATTTGGAGTGTAGCAGGTTTCCTAATGGTAGCTGCAACAGATGGTCTTGGAAGGCCGGGCTCTCTTGGGATGTGACAGCAAGTGCTCCTGATAGAAGGAGGCCATGCACACTAAGCAGGTCTTCACGGTCTCCTCCACCTTCAGACCGTGGTCACAGACCACCGGGTGTCTGGTCTGGGGGCCACCAGGGGAGCATGGTGTCCAGTTAATGGTGGGTGCCTGCTCCAGTGCGGCCTGTAGAAACTGGTTCACCAGGGCGCATAGTGTCATGTTCTGCTGCTCTGGGAACTCTGGGGAGACAGCATGTTATTTGGGCTCTGGTATGGCTTGCCCTGAAAGGCCCACGTATCGTTCAGGCAACACCTGCAAAAGTTTTGGCCACATGGGGTGGTGGCCAGCTCCATGAAGTGCTCCAGGCAGATGGAGCATGACAGCTTCTCAACAGCAGGAACAGCTCCACAATGGCACCAGACTCCTAGGCCGGAGACCAACACAGGACCATCCCCAGGCTGCCGAGGACATTGTATATCCTGTTGTACTCAAAGTTTAAATACTCATACACTGCTGTCCTGGCATATCCAGTGGTCTTATTATGGTAGGCATAAAACCTACAAGCCATCTAACTGGAGATTGATCCCAGGGGAGTGTTTTACCGCTGACCACATCCACAATCCTTTTTATTTTTATATTGTATTTTTTTTATTAGGGTCTTGCTAAGTTACTTCGGCTCTCTAAGTTGCTGAGGCTGGCTTTGAACATATGATCCTCCTGCCTCTGTGTTCTGACTTGCTAACATAGGCATGCACCACTATGCCCGGATCATCTAAGTAACTTGAAGTTGTGAAACTGAAATCTGAACAGAAATCAAGAAGATCCATTTTGACGAATTGTAGAAGATAGTGTTTCTGTCTAAACTCAAGGATTTAGTCACTGTGTGGAGATTTGAAAATATGAGCAAAATGGGGCTAATGCTTAAACTAAGTGTGTCCTAAACATGTCTCCCAGAGTGGCTTCTGTATATGGTGACCAGTAACCTAGCTTGTTATACAAATTGTAAACCAGTCTAAGGTAAGGAATGCACTTTTAACAAAGCAACTAAATCTCCGTCAGTCACAGCAACTCAGCTTCAGACCATCACAAGCTCTCGACTGATCTGACTATTAGCATATAGGTCAGAAATGCTTACTGCACCCAATCAGAGTGTTTCCATATGGCACTTTCTTTTCTCTTGCAGTGAGTGTAATCTGCTGAGGTCATCTTTGGTCCCAAGTGCAACCTTGTGCTAGATCCTTTTTGTTTTCTTTCCTTAGGCAAGTTTTGCTAAATTAAGTGTTCTCAATTTTTTTTAAACAATTCCCATGTATGAACCAATTGTGAGAACCTGCAAATGTTTGGGAGTGACTAAAAGACTATTTTCTGACCATCTTTGAACCATCTAGGAGTAGGGTGAGCTGAAGGACCCAGAAACACAGAAGAGGCTATTTTAGGAATAACTGCTTTTCCCACCACAGGGTCAAAAGATAGACCACAGCTTAAGAAACCTGGGATGGGAGAGATGGTGATACCAAGAGTACTACCAGATGAGGGGATCT